TTAATGTCAGTGAAACCATCAGTATAGTATAAATAATGATTCGGGGGTAACCATCCATTGAAATTGAGGATAGAATGTCAATTCAGTATGTCCCATTGACAGATACGTTTCATTCTTTCACGTCACGTATGAATACATATGCATTTCGTTGAAAAAAACACTCATTGTACTAAACCTAAACATGCAATTCTAGAAACACTAATGCAAATTAAATGAAATCAACTTCATTCTGTGATGCCACTGGTTACAATAATTTCGATTGAAGCGTGCATAGAATTCGCAAGATTGTAAACTTTTCCATCGAATATAATCCAATTTATATATCAAAGATGCATAGAAGTATCTTATAAAACCTTTATATTATATATATCTATATAGTTGACAGTCAATGTTAGTTGACTAACATGTTATGTTATGTTATGTTATATAGTTGACAGTCAACGTTAGCTGTGATATTTACAAATATGAATAACATGTATTCCATTGCATATGCTCACCTGAATCATTTCTATGCCGTTATGCAGGTAGCACAAATATATGCGTTAATATACAGTTCGCCAATCATGCATCCAGTTTTTCGAAATATTATTAAAGACTATTTCAAATTAGTAGATTCATAAACATTCGTAGTTAGTCGGGTGTTAGTGTTAGGTCTCCTAGTGCTATAACTTCAACAGTTTTTTTATTATAAAATTGTCGAATAGATCGTCAATGTCACATCCTAGAATTGCATATTTATTGCAGCTACAAATAACAGACAACACATACAATAATCGTACAATGACGGAAATGGAAAGTAGGAATTGCGAACTCGTGAAAACGTGAACATGAGAAATCACAATAAAAAGTAATCACACATTTAAAAATAAAAATAAAAAAATATTCAAACATGTCTAATCTCAGATTCGGTATAATTAATATGGGAAAGATATTCATCTAAGTGAATTATTACAATGTGTCTTTGCATGTAATTAGACCTTAGAATCCAATGTACATTTCATATCAACTTGATTTAAAAATCGCACACAGAATCTGTCCCTTGCTTTCTGATATGAAACAAATAAGTACCCGAAATAAACATAAGTAATTAATACAGGACAATCATATATTCAACGACCATATGCTATTCTCTTCAACACTCATACAACTACTTTGACGTCACACCTGCAATTGAATAAAAGTACACATATAATTATTGACTTTAACAGAAAAACTTACTTGAATGTTAAGACAGTCATTTATCTCAAGAGTTGGTGACCATCTACATTAATAGAATGCCGGTGTGATATATGAATGATTTAAATACATCTATATATAAATATATGGTGCCGCTGTACAAAGCCATTAATATTGATGCTGGTTTGCTGAACGGTTAAGAAAAATTCAATCACAAGAAACTTTGTGTCATTTGAATATTTCGTTTTGTTCCAGCAACAGTTTTCAGATAATTATTTATTTGTTGTAAGCTATTATTCAGGCTCAATACAAAATTGAAAATAAATATTATTTATTTATATGATTTTTAAAGATTAATATATTACTTAGATATGTGTTGTTTCATACTATCAACAATGTAACGCATGTATGTGACATGATATGATTACTTACTACATATATCTGCTGGAGACAATGTTGCACTCCCGGTGACATCAAGACTATCAGACTTCCATGAAAATACATTCCCTTCAATCTGGCAATAGCAGTCTTGAGCAGAATGTAGAATCTCAGCATCATCTAATACCCTGTCCCACATATTAAAATACGCCAGTTCTCCCTTCCATGCTTGTGCTGGATTAAATCCACCTCCTACAGTGTCCTGTTCCTGACCCAGTATCATAACACCACCGGATCTTATGGTTAAACCTGTTCTGAAATTGATACCATCAGCAACCGCCACACCATTGTCATACATGCGCCACATTCCATCGACGGAATTCCATACAACACACACGTGGTGCCATATACCATCATTGACACTGACACCAGTAGGACCACTAATTAAACCTCTTACGGAAAGTGTTAAAGATTGTGGTACGTCAAGTAAAAATTCATTGTCGCCTCCTTGAATATTATAAGAAATTGCTGTACCCCCGGATACTTCGTCTGTTTTCATCCATATACAGGCAGAAACTGCTACCATCGTTGGTATTGCTACCATGACGTCTACTCGTGAATTTTCATCGACTTCTACTTTATCACATGGGGGCGGTGGAGCTGCATATACATTAATATATACATATAATATCTATTACTCTTCCCGTATGCCAATGTGTAGAACAACATACCGATAGCTTACCAACTACACTATTTCATTGTGTTAACACTACTTTAAATAACGTAACGCAATATATTAAAACTAATCTATTTTCTGACTGGATGATGGATACAAGATTAATTATTGTGAGGACTCGTTCAGTTGTGTTGGTACTTCAGTTGAAATGGGGCACTCCTGAATATACCTGATATACGCAAATAAGGGAAACACGATACGCGGCAATATTTGTGAACTGATTGGTTCGCCAGGTTTGCGTTCACTATTTGACTATCTTTTCTGAAAGAAAACTGGGATTTTGTAGCGATTTCGCGCGATTTCTAGTGGCGCTTGCCTTGCGTTTTGCCAGCGCGCCCAACTACGTGCTTTGAGACATTCGGTCTGCGATCGCGCAGTTTGTCAACCTAAATCAAATTGAGAGTCGTGGACTTTGCCTTGTAACGACTCCGTTTTGATTTTGCTACGTAATTTGTGTGTTTTGACAGTATATCGACAAATTATGTACAGTGTTGAAGGAAAACGGTGTTGACGTAAAACTATACATGCATTCAGCTCTACTAGCGTGACCTGGAAGATTGCCATGATTGAGTGCCACAATTTCTGTTTTAAGATTTATTCGGTTTAACAATACAAATTTACACCTCAAAAGCGGTGGACGTACAATTTTAGAAACCCTCAGAGCCCATTGTCAACCTCGGCTTCGCCTCAGTTGACAATGAGCTCTTCGCAATATATGGCAGGATTTACCTGTTATGGTAACTTGGTCAGCAGTAGTTTGATAGTCGATTTCAGACATTGTAGTTTCCGACAACGTGGATCTAACTTCTAAACTTGCCTTATCTGCTTAATATAAAATAAAAACAATTCAAAAGTCAATACACTTGTAATGAATGTTCTTATTGTGTACCCATAGGTGATTCCCGTCAATATGTATGAGTTCACTAGTATCATGCAAATTAACACAACCCTTCTCACCTTGAATATTTGTTGTTTCCTCACCAGTCGTGGGCTGTGTAGTGTTTTGGAATACCGTTTTGTTGTTTGTATCTTCAAATCCTGAATATATTAACACACATTAAGTCATGTAAACCCATTATATTTATTCTCCATACTTCAATAACGTAATACTTGTTTGTTGATTGTAAAAAGAACATCTTTGTTCACGACACAATGACTACGAGATCAAACTAGACATTTGTGAGCGTTAATTTCCATATTCATTTGTACTTTAAATAATTATGATAATTATCACAAACAACTATTCAATTCAATAGCACGTTAACATATTCTACCGTCTTTATCCAAATGTAATTTACGTACCGTCTTGTGTGACTGAGCTTACAATTGTCCCAGTAATCACCCCCGCTGAGGCTAGTGCAGTTGTTATAGCCAGGATACCAATCAATGGTAAAAATCTTTTAACTCTTCCATTCTGCTAAGAATAAATTTGACAAAAATTCCGACAGAATATTCCAATGTTCATTATAATTAATTATCATCAACTTATCTGATCTAGTTGTCTCATATGGAGATTCATAGACTGATCATAAGCAGGGATTATCTACGTTCCTCGCAAAGACGTCGGCATAGACCTTTTACTGAGTGATTTACATGTGCCGTGTTGTTGGAATAATACCAGTATGCTTTCTCATATGAGTCAACGGGGAATACATGGATATTAATTGACCGTAAAGATACAATTCTTAGAAGGAATGCTGAAAATACCATTTTTGAATTACATATTCGAACATGCAAATGTAGAGCATATTCAAATATTTAATGGCCAATGTTCAAATACATTATATTAACATAAATTATAGTTGCCTTTGAAGATAGAATACCACTTTGTATGAAAAGGCAATGGCAAAAATATATACTTAGTACTACGCCATACCAAGTTTTAAAGAATTTACTGACATATATTATAAATAGTAGTTGACGTTTTATTCATCCCATGTATTCGAATCTTAATCAGTCGATATCTTTGTCACAGTGTTTGAGCAAAATCAATTGAGTTTGTAATGTTCAACTCCTAATGACAATCAACCATTACTATTCCAGTGCAAATATTTAATTAACAAGAAAACGACACCGATAGAATTACATTAATGACTAGCGAATTGTGCAACATGTTTAGGATTACATTCAACAATTGAAATCGGAGTCAACAAGCATGCTGACATACTAAGTCAAAATAAGAAGAGTGCACAACGTTGATTTATTTAAGTCAAGCAATAATAACTATTATATTATTTTCCGGTGAACAAGCAACATCTTGAATGGGCTTACACCAGTGTTGTAGTATTCACGAACATACTACTCATCTCAATACAAACATGAAACATGAATGTCTTAATAGAATAGAAAATCTGCATTTTTATAAACACGTTAAAACGTTTTCTCAATTCAGAATTGAAAACAATTACAACATTCGAAGACAAAACTATGCTATCCATTGCAATAACGCACCTAACCAGATAACGTTGAGAAGGTTCATTTCAACAATTCTGGAAATTGACCCACACAAATTCTGTATCAAGAAACAGTATAACACCAGTGGCGCGACCACCTCGTGTGGCGTAAATACAGACTTTTTTTAAAAACTATCACTCTTCTTTCATGAGTAAAACTGGTTTACAAATATAAAACTATCTTTGATTTGAAATCAAGCAAAACAAATAATTCATCAAATTACAATTTAAAATTAATCACAATCATTATGTTACCGTGAAGCGTGATATTAGTCGAGGTTAACCTCTTGACTAAACTCATAACTAAACCATCGAGTGCTCGGTCATTTAAAATATGATTATAATGAACTAAATCCGAGCCCTACTATTTTCTAATGCTAGTTGACAAAAGACAAAATCAAGGTGAAAAAAATTCACATGTGATATATTCTGGGTCACATAAACAACTACATGATCGACCGTTTTTGTTTAGCCAATCATATTACCTTATTTGGTATTTTTTAAGGAACATCGCCAATGAATATGACAATCGTCTTTTACATTAACAGTCATTCCTCCTACATTAGTTTTTAAGTCCTTGGGTAACTTTTGCAATGTGAGTAGTACGTGGTTATGGAATAACAGCTTGAAAACAAATGGAGCTAATTACAAAAACAGCTGGTAAGGGTTATTTCAAAACCATTTATTACCACCAAATATTTGTCTTGGCGTTGCTATTTTGCTGTGTTTTTGAACAGCTCTAGGTAATTATCATGTAAACTATGATTTTAGGCAGAAAGAGTTACGTGTAGAATAACTAAACGCTTCATATCACAGCTTAGTTTTATGGAAACGAGTCTTGTCTACATATAGAAAGTCGGTAAACATGGTGAAACGCCCCTGTACATGATTTTATCCTTCGGTTGATTTGGATAGTTCTTATAAATCTTGTCTTTGTTTTAGTGTTCACCAAATTTAAATAATTTGTTGTTGTTGCAATAGTTTGTTAACTTATTTTACTAAATTATTTTATTGGCACGAATTTGACAGCAAGCCATTGTAAACAATTGCACTCACGGTGAACCAGTGACAAACAGCAGAAACTGGGCAGAAAACCACCAGTATAATTGATGAGGTCACCTCACCATCTAGTAGTGTATATACCTTAGAGTAGTTTTCCAATATTTCTAATATATTCAACTTTTGGTAGTGCTTCGAATTTTCAACAGTATGTGTTGGACACTGTCTATATAACGAAAACAACTTGCAACGATCTTATTGGCTTGTAACGGCGTCATGACTAGTAGCGATGAAGACAACTGGCTCTGTGGGTTATGCGTATATTAATTGCATTTGTGTACCTCATGAAGTCGTTTATTATTGTATTATTGTTCTCGCAATCAGAACCTAGCTAGAGCGTCGACCGATTACATGTGATGGTAAGTGTACATTTCACAACTGGTCATAACTGCAACCACTAGAATTCCTATCCATATTTCCCACATTTGTTTACGGATAATTACACGGCAGCCATTTGGGATCAAATTAGGGGCTCGGGGACATTTTGCTGAGCTGTGGCAGCCTAACAAGTCTGGTATAATATTAGTACCATGTTCGTTTTACAGCTAAAATTGATTCAGTACTGAACCGTATTTGAAGACGTTTCACTGACAACACTCGTATTTAGCGCTTATGCAATCAACACATCATTGCGATATGTAGATATGTAAT